CTTGGCTTTGTGATTTTTCTAACCTCGGTTTTAAGCAGACTGAGGCAACAGTCCCTTCGTTTGAAGAAATACCCCATGGCCTCTGTGGTCCCTGCTCGAAACTTTTTGCAGGGACCTCCCTCTGCTGATGCAAATCAGGCTTTGGTTCCTGTTTCTTCTATCTCACATCTTGTTAAGCCGTTCCTGTGCAACAGCTGCAAACACTCATTTTATTCCTTCATGCTTTCAAGTTTTAAAGCAAAATATTTTTAGCAATGCACTGAAGAGCCTTGAAGCATCTATTAAAAATAAAGTAAAATACGTGTTGCATCCACGTAATTACAACAGAGCTCCTCAAACAATCCGCATCAAGATTTCCAAGGCTGCCTTTAGCAACACCTTTGTAAATTGGTCCCCACAAACCCATCGGGTACAGGGTCCTGGCAACACGCCCAAACACAGCGGAGCAGCACTGGAGAGTGGGGTCCGACCCTATCACGATTCCTAACTTGGGGGTTGTCCCCCCTCTTTCCCCCTCAAAGTAGAGTAACAGCTTACGTCACCTTTGATGCAGAAGCCGTTCTGACACCATTCCAGCCCAGCGCAGCGCAGAAGCTCCTGGCGCCTGCGGAGCAGAGCTGCAGAGAGGTTCTGCAAGGAGCACTGACCTGGGAGCGAGAGGGGGCTGCGGGTAAGAGGGCGGTGGTCTCTTCCAGCGCTGGAACAGGACGCTGTGAGGAGGCAGGGCTGCAGCCCGAGGCCAGAGCATCGCCCACGGCTGTGGGTGCCCAGGAACGGTGCTGCAGCCCCGGGGCTGAGCAACCGCCCGGCCGTACTGTCCGAGCAACGCGCAACTTCACTGGTATCTGCTGGTCAGGGATGGCAGGAGCTCTCGGGTGCAGGCACTGGCAGCACAAAGCGTGCACGGGTGTGATGAAGGCACGTACGGAGAAGTCCTGGCTCTGCAGCAGGAGCCAGAGCCACATTCGCAGAGAAGGAGCTTTGTGACCTACTGGAAGTTGCAGAAAAGGAGGTGGGAACGGTGCGAGACAAGGAATGTGCTGAGCGTAACTGGGGGGCCCTTAGGGAGCAGGGACAGAAGCCCACGGGCACACGTAGGTGTCGAGCCCAAAAAACGTGCTGCCACGTCCAAGCTCATCCCTCGGTGAGGAAGAGTCAGTCTTTTCTCGATGGCTGCAGGACCCTGGGGCCTTGCGGAAGGCCTTGAGGAAGGCTGGGGCTCGCCTTGCTGCTGAGCAAGGGCTGCTCATCCCCTTGAGCCGCCGCTGCCTCTTCCCAGCCCCTAGGGCTCAACGTGACATTTATCTAGGAACAGAAGCTCCCTGGGCACTACCAGAGAGGCTCATGCCAAAGCCTCATGCAGGATTATTTTCCCTTGTAAGCAATGCTGAAAGCAACACACAAGGGCAGGACATAAGAAAACTAAGAAGAGATAAATAAAACGTCACTTCAGCCTCCGGGCCTGCAGCAGCAGGGACACGTACAGGGGCTGACAGCACGGAGGGAGGCAGCTCTGTGCAGGACCGCTGGCAAGGGGCAGAGCCCAGCACCGGCTGAGACTGTGCCCCTCGCTCCCTGGCAAAGGGAGCCTTCACCTTTCCACCGCTTCGCTCCCTGCTCCCCGCAGCTGCAGCAAGGGTCTGAGATGCCCAGCAGCACTCCTCTGCCCTCCACCAGCTCTCACAGGGATCCTACTCATCCCCGAGACTCACGCCACACACCCCCACACCCCCCATCCCACAGCAGCTCACTGGGGAGGCTGGTGAGCCCATCCTGAAGACGAGCAGGTCAGAAACACGTCTGGTTTCTCCCAGGGTTTCGGTCAGCGGCACGTCAGCTCTGCCCCTGGCACCGCTCGGGCAAGGAGGTGGCCGTGAGGGACAAGGCGAGCCAAGGGATAAAAGCTGGCAGCAGGGAATGAACTTCAGGATGCCCGTCAGCGGCACATCAGCTCTGCCCCTGGCACCGCTCGGGCAGGGAGGTGGCCGTGAGGGACAAGGCAAGCCAAGGGATAAAAGCTGGCAGCAGGGGATGAACTTCAGGATGCCATCGGCATTTGTCCTCTGGGCGCCTCGCCGCACCATGGCGCTGCGGCACAGAAGGGCCAAAGAAACGACGTCCTTCCCTCCCAGGGGACAGATCTGGGCAGAGGGGTATGGCCGAGAATACAGGGGCTCTGTGAGACAGCCGTATGCTGGAACGCCAAGTATTCTACAGTAAAAAAACCTTTAAAACAGGAGATGAAAGAATTCTTCTTTCTTTTTGCGGCTCTCTGTGACAAAGCTACATTGTGCCCCTTTTCCAGAAAAGGGCTCGCTGTTGCTCTTTTAGCCTTCGAGGAAGCAGAAATCCCTGGTCTGGTGTCTCCACGGGTTTGTGGAGATCCTCTCTATGCCTCAGGCTCCCCTCTGCCCACAAGTCTGTAACACCATTAGCGCGCTGCCACAGCAGAGCATCGCCAGCACGCGGCTTTCCACTGCCTCGAGACCATGGCATAGTCTCAGGGGAGGGGAAAAGAAGTGTGTTCTCTCATTAGAAATAATTAAGAATTCACCTTTGATAAAAGCCTTGGAAGATTTCTTCTCATACTGAAATGGCAGGGAAAGAAAAAAAGCACAACCACATCAGCACAGACAAAACAAGCTCCTGCGGAGCAGTCGTGGAACAGACGCTGTTACGTTATTTGAGGATTAACCAGCACGGACCACAAAAACTACTGAAGCGACAGCTCCAAGCCCAGTTAGTCCTTGGCTTCTTTACCGCGTCTGCCAAGACCGGGGCTGCCCGTGTTAGCAGCTTTATTCTTCAGTGGACACCTGTCCACCAGAAAATGGACGGAGGCCATGAGATCACAGGCCACCTAACACAGATGACAGACCGCAACAGCTTCTGGCAACCACCGACCGAGCGCCACAGGTACTCGCCAAGTCCCTGAATCATCTAATAAAAATGCAGATTTTTCAAAGTTGCCTTTGCTTCGTTTTGTGCCTATTCCTGTAGGCTTGTGCTCACGATCAGCCTCTCTGTGCTGCTCAGCTCCTCCAGCAGCTACTATGGAAACCGGGAGCAGCACCCGTTTCTCGAGAGCAGATAGGTCAGGGAGTTGGGTTCTTTCAGCCACGATTTTGGAAGCCTTGCAAGAAAATGCGTGTTCAGTCAGGATCTGGAGTGATTCTAATGGCCCTTCACTTGCAGAGGGTAAAGGAGTTAAACAGGTACCAAGCAGCGCAGCAGGGACAACCCCCAACTGCTCCCATCATTCCAAAAAAGAAACTTTAAATGGCTCAGCATGCCAACATCACATTCTTACCAAGCCAATCTTCTCCATAGCAAGAGGTTTATTAGCTATCTGGGGGAGCACAGCTGATACGGCCTTGCTAGGAGGTGTCGCATGCCACAGCGAGGGGAGATTAACGCAAAGAATTTAAGGTCAATGGTTTGGGCCAGCTGCTATTTATAAAGAGGAAGGAAAGCAGAACAGCAGTATCACCTCTAGGCCTTAGGGAATGTTGTGCAGTTAAGAACAACCTACCGGCAGGGCACGCTTCAACCCATCTTCAGCTTTTTCTTCCGTCTCCAAACCAGCAAGTTGCAGACAATTTCCCCCTCTGTTCTAGCGCCGTGGGCCCAGGGCGGCCAGCGCTCGCTCTCTTCCCTCCGAGGGGAAGGGAGGTTACAAACAAAACCCCACAACAGCGCTAACTCGACACGCGGCGTGCCAGGGTTCAGAATCCAGGGCGTATGTAAAAGCCTCCGAGCCTTCAGCCTTGCAAAGCCTCTCCGTATCTATAAATAAGCCCTCCTTGTACACTATATATCCCGCATTTCAGTGCTCTTTTTAAAGGGAACCTACCTAAGGTCATTCCCAGGTGCAGAGATAGGAAGGACACGTTCCACAACTAGGACAAACGCTAACTTTTTAGGGTGACTGAGAAAAGCCATTTCTTCAGGAACCATTGGCAGATACAAGTATTTAGTTTATAACACTGGATGTGAAAACAAGCAGTTATCAACTATTTACAATTCCAAAGAGTGGCCACATGCCCACCAAACCAGAAAATCACACTTGTCGTCATACTGTGTGGTATTAAAAAAAAACCAAAAAACATTAGAATGTTTCTGCTGAAAACAGAGAAAGCAGAAGTACTCCAGAATGTCCTAATAGGACCAACAAGATAAAACCATCCGATCTGCATGTATCCAACTAATACATAAGCTGTTATTTCAAATGCATTTTTCACAGAGCAACAAAAACCTATTACATCATTCAGAGGTTTCACGGAGGTCAGATGCATCAAACAGAGAAAGTGTTTGTCCAGACTGCCTTCAGGGCATTCTTTAAAACATTTGCTCAGTATGTTCAAGTATAAACATACGAGAATTTCACAAACGATACAGACTAAAGCTACAGGGAAAAGTTACAACCTCATACGCGTTCAGAAAAACGTAGCTGACAGTAGAATCCGACAGCCAGAGGCATAAGCTGCAAAGCCACCAATGCCTCTGGATGGAGGTCACACTTCTAATTCAAGGGCCAGAAGTTGTTCCCTATAACCTGAGTTCTATTTTCTGAGTTCTGTAAAATTTACAGAAAGGTAAAAATAGGAGAGCTTTTACTTCCCACCTCTTGGCTGAATGCTACTGCCATGGGAACGTGTTCTGCACGCTGCCAGCTTCTCCTCAGATAATTTCCTATTTCTCCACTAAGCCTCTGGCTCACACATGACTCAGTTTTAGCACTTCAGAGAGATAAGCATGTGCCCCATCCTATACTTAAAATTAGCAGGGCAAACTTCAGCCCTTTCTTAAAAGCCTAGGATAATCAGTCATTCTCTTCAATGAAAAAAGTGCTGGTTTATATCAGGAACCAACTGGAGCTACTCCCTTGTCTCAGCAAGGGGCGAACAACAGAAAGCTGAGCCCAGGACGGGGCTGGTAACCACAGCATACATCTATTTCTTCCAGATGCGTGGAGATAAACCCTTCCAACACAAATAACATCAAGGCAGATAAAATAGTTTAATATAGAGCGAGAACAAGTGTTGCATAAAAATAAGCAAAATCTTTTTCTTTAAAAAAAAAAAGTCCGAGAACTCGTATTTAAAAGAAAAGCTGTTTGGATATTGACCACGTAGGCGACTCATGAATGCAGGAGCTACGGCACAGTTCTACAGGGGAGTTCAGGATGTTCCCTAGCTTCTCCATCCGCTAAATCCAGAGGAAGATCTGTGGAGCAAGAAAAAAAAAAAAAACACCCAACACAGCAATGAGTGCTGGAGTCTCCCTCCGGCAGTATTAATTCAGCAGATCTCCAAACAAACTCCCAGTCTCCCCAGTATCAGAAGCTTATTGATAAGAATGCATTGGTATTTCCAGCATCTTCTACCCGAGACTGCATCAACACAGGCTGACTTGACGTCCTCATGCTCGTTCTAGAGCCTACCACCTGGAGATACACGTGCTCTCTCTACTTGACAGGGAAACAGAAGTTGAAGAGACTTGCTAAAAGTAATCCAGTGGCAGAGCGGGTGACAGTTAACCTCAGCTTTTAGCCCTATTCCTTAACTGTAAGTCACCATCTCAATTCAGCCAGAAAAGTACAATTCATTTAATTCCTTGTTTCAACCCAATAAATGGAGTAGCTACTAGATTGACACACACATCATGTGCCTGAGAGGTGGAGAAAGAGCACGATCTAACTGAAAATTCCCTCTTACAAGAAAGATTAACCTCCCTGGAAAGCACACGATCCGAGCCCGGGCTCTGAGCTCTCTGCAGTGCCACTAAAAAGGAAATCGAACTAGTACGTTACTGCTGCTTTCGGAGCTTGCTCTCGTAAAACATTCAACTTTTCTACTCCGATTCTACTTTGTTTTTAATGAAGACTTAGACACAAAATGGTACTTACGTGTTAGATGATCCAAAACCAAACCCTGAAAGAAACACAAGATTAGAAAAATAATTGTTAAAAGGTAAAATGAGTGCATAAGATTTGTAGCAAATATCCCCTCCCACACGCAGACTGAAAACCATTTCTGTCCTGCCAAAAAAAAGAGCAACGGGCAAACAATGAAAGTCAAATCTCCATCTCGAAGAAAAGTGACTTGCCCCGCTTCCTAAGAGGGCTTTGCTTTCACTGCTCATCAGCTCGGCCCATTCATCAGCAGCAACCGCGTTCCCAGTGCCTGGTTTATTCACCTCCCCCTGAAAGCAGAGGGCTGCTCTCTGAGACGGAGTTTGTGCTTAACGCAAGGCAATGGTGACAGGCAGGCCACCAACGAACGCATCGCCTCTCAAAGGTTCTGCTCTCAGCCCTCTGTATATCACTGCAGCCTCACTGAATTACAGCAGATAAAAATTTGGCTATTGCTGTTCTAGCTCAATTTTGCAGTGCATATTCTTCTGGCACTAAGTACTTACACACAGATACCCATGCATACAGCGCTGAAGAGACACTCATCATTTCTCAATATTTTCCTTTGAGGAGAAAGAGCAGCCCCACAAAAAGGGGTGAAAAGCAGTAATCTGATGAGCTGTGCAGAAGAAGTGTGATTTATTGCCATGCCACAGCAAATCAGTGATGGAATCACGAGCTAAAGTTTGAGAAGATGCTACACCCCACCCTGCAGCTCAGTTCTCCAGGACATGGTGCCTCCCCTATAGCAGGCCCAGGCCCAGGCAGATTTTTAACCAGGAGCTGAGGAGTCGTGCCCAAGTTCCAGGGAAAACTGGAGACACAGGGCCTGTAAGGTCTGTTATATTTCAGCTTCTCCTACCTCCTCCACCGGTCCCAAAAGCTGAGAATCCACTGCTTTGTGTGCCGAAACCCGTACCCTGTTGTGACAGCGATCCGAATGTCGGGGTATTTTGATTTGCTAGCGTGCCAAACGATGCTGTGTTGTTACTGGTACCACCAAACCTGCAGTTTAAAGAGAAAATTTGCGTTTGCAAGCATCTTCTCACTTACACTGGAAGTTTGTGCCCATACCTGCAATGGTAACAGTGCACTCCTTAAACAAGGACACATCAAAAGAGCGAGACCATCTGATAGGAATAATTAAAATTGCTCATTCTGGAAATGGATTTTTTGGTTTGGGAAAGACAATTGTACACACAACCATCTGCTCAGCTCCCATTCTTAATGTACACCGGGCAGAAAGGCAAATATGTCCATGCTTACACAGGGCATGTTTTCAAGTGGCTGGAAATACCAACTCCAGCCATCAAATGGAATATATAAATTCCCCCTCTGTGTAGTTTTTGCCCTTTAAGCTCTAAAGTTCAGCATCGTTTCATTTCACAAACAGGGCAGCAAACACAGAACTGGTACGAGCTGCTCATGGCCAGAGCACAGAGCGGGGCGCAGATACAGAACCCAGACTCCCAACTTTCAGAGGGTACCTTACCCACTGCCCACGCAAACCGCCTGCAGATTTCTCAATTCCTTTCTCTCCCCAGCCCATGTTGAACCCCACACAGTTCCAGTGCTTTCCTGAAGATCTGCACCTACCTGGACTTCTCCCCACCACCTTTGGATTACTTCCCTAATTGCTTTTGAGGACTGAAATAAGAAACACTTTTTTATACATGGAAATTGGTCTTTCTCCTTTCCCCACCCACTCCGTCCAACCAGGCATCGCAGAGCTATCAGCATGACGCGCTAATGAGACCACAATATGCATTACGGCTCTCTGCTCCCCCCATACACTTCTCCCAGTCCTGAACGTAAGAGGTGCACTCAAAAAACAAGCTTCAAGTATTTCACTAACAAACTGGGCAAAACGTAGACACAAAATTTTCAAAAGACAAGCTCTGCTAAAGCTCTGCGAGTGCACAACGCTGCCAGGACTAACCCAGCACCAGCCCTCCCCTGAGCAGACACTTGGTCAAATCACACAGCGTACCAGCTTCGCGAGGCTGCGCCTCACCCAAGCTCCTGTCATTTCTGACTTACAACCTGAACTGACAGCACATTAACCCACCTCTCCATCCAGCCAGATCTAGTAGACTTTAAAAAAAAAAAAAGCAAACCAAAAAAACCCACATCAAAACATATCTCTCCAGATAAAAGACAACCCTTGTAGCAGTGTGACAAGCAATTCATCTGGTAAAGGACATCACCTCTCCTGTCCCAGGCACTGTCAACTGTACACGCTGCTTCCACATAGAGCGTTAGAGACAACGGGCAGTTCAGTGACTTTGCATCTTTGGCCCCGATACCTGTCCCCTGTGTGTCTGTTTCGGCTCTTGACCCACGTACCCTGCAGACAATTTCACCTCAGAACCACGAAGATGGTTTTCTCAGGAAGGGCAGAACAGGTTTTGTAGTTCTTTTTAAAAAGAGACACAAGATGGGGCGACGAGTTTTAGAACAAGAGGTTTTTACAGTGCTCCACCTTCTCAGGACTATGCCACTACACACACAAATCATGTCTACCCAGCAAAAGGAAGTGGAGGTGAGAAGAGCGACAAGGATCTTCTCAGGACTATGCCACTACACAAATCATGTCTACCCGGCGAAAGGAAGTGGAGGTGAGAAGAGCGACAAGGAAACTTGTGGTTCAAACTGCTCCTTCAGTCACAACTACAAGAACAGGCCTGTTGGAAAAGGCTAAGCATCATGCGAGCAGAGAAACAGCTTAAGCTACGGACAGATTCGGTTTTCAGACATAAAAGACACAAGATACAGTCATTGCCTGGTAACAGTTTAATCAAACCTATCCTGCCCAGATTTTCAAGTGTGTTGTAATGCTGCTATGCAAAACAGAACTGAGAGGCACTTGAGGTTAGTTTATGAAAGCAAAACGTTATTTGCTCACCAACAGTTGGAACTGCAGGCTTTGAAGAAGTATGGTGGTTTCTATTTCTGATCCCCAAGCCATTTATCAAGTGATACAGATTTTTCAGAATTGAAGCAGCAGTAAATCACTTGTATTTTAAGTTAGCAGGGCGTTCTCAGGAACTTGGAGCTAATACCGCACAACGTACTGGCAAGTAACTTCTCCAAATTTGGGATTTTTAGTTTCACTTCAAAAGCAAGGCAGAAAGGAAGCCCTGCACAGGCGCTACGTTATCCTGCAGAATTAAACTACTGCTCAAAATTTTGTGGCGAGATTTCGAGTTTTGTAAAGCTGCCTGGGAATTTTGCACGCTCTTTTAAAGGTTTTGAAAAATCAAAATCAAATTCCTCGGACAACTCTGAAAATATCAGACCGAGTCTGCACCTTTCTAATAGAGAAGAATTTTTCAAAACTTCCCCCAAGTTAAGCCACTGAATTATCTTTCTTGAGGCTGCAGACCGCTTACGCAAGACCTCTGTTTGCATCACCACGCTGCTTGTTCTGAATCCCACTTGATCTTTAAGCTTCCAACGTTGTCACTGAGCGCATCCAGTTTCAGTACAAAATCCTGCAGCACAATGGCTCAAAGCTGGAACTGAACAAAGTATCAGCTGGGTTGAAGCTAAGTCGTCCCTACAAGCGCATCCTTCTTTGCGGGGATTTAATTGAGCTGTCCCTATTTTTACCCTTTCCAAAGGGACTCTCCAATTTGCAGCACCAGGACCCAGCAGAACCACCTCGCTGAAGCCTCCCACAGCTCAGGGGTGCCCTGGCAGGTGGGTGCCTGCCTAAACCTCACGGGGAATTAACACGTTGCACTTCTGGATGTTCCAATATGCTTTGCATAGAAAAGAAGCAGTTCCTCTTGAAACTAAAGACAAATGCTTGTGAAATACGTAAACACTAAGATTAGGAAGACACCCAGTTTCCTCTTTTTACTGAAAGTTTTTTCAGTTGAGTCTATTCAGTCTGAATAGAGCTGTATGGCGTGAAGGAGAGCCGCTTGCTGGTAGTGCAATGTGGAGGAAGTGCATTTGCTGCCTATTGCAGTAGCTGCTTTGCAAGGTTTGAAGTTCTATATTTGCTGAATACAACCAAGGAGTAACGTGCTGTCTGCTCTGGTGCCAAGCACAGGCTTGAGGGGTAAAGAAACAGGTAAAAACAATCAGTGGGAGATAAACACAAATCGCTCTGGGAGCGCAGGCTGTTAAGAGTGCTTCGTCCCACCCCCTAAAGGGGAGAGAACAGGCTGAATTCTCATTAGTTCCTCCAGCCCAAATCTCACAAGTGGATAAGGTGGCTAGACAGAGTCACAGATAATGATATTTATTATTTTCTTTGCTAGGCTAGTTGGGAGGCCTAGATTTGAAGTCATTAAGTGTGCACACAGAAGATACTCCTGCATTTCCTTAGACACTTGCAAGATGACTCACATTTCCCCCCCTCCCCCGAATCTCTAAAGCTAAAGATTCAACACAGTATTTCAGAATTAAAATCAGATCATACACACTGTTTCCTTCAGGGTTGAAGTCTTAGTTTTATGCCTTTATTGGGTTTGTTTTTTTTTTTTTTTAAAACAAACCAACCAACCAAGGACACTTAGAGCTTAGCAATCCACCACAGAATATATCCTTTACGTTAATGCAGAAGTAACTAAGCGCAATAGTTTTTGTCATGCATGAACACTGTTTTCCCAGACCCTGGATGGCTTACCCAAATCCTCCAGCGCTGGCTGCTGCTGTACCCTCGCCGAACACTTTGCCTCCCGTTGAGCCCAGAGGGCTTGAAAAGGTTGGGGCTGAACCGAATGCTGGCACCCCTCCGAACCCAGGGGATCCCCCGAAAGTGGGAGGGCTGCCAAACACTGGAGCAGCACCGAAGCCACCTGAGCAAAACAGAGGCAAAAAAGGGACAAGAACATCACGTAAACAATAATGCAGAAAGCGAAAACAAAACCTAGATTTCCAAGCAGACAATCTCCATAACGGGGCTGTTCATCTTATCACACGGACACAGCATTATGTACAAAAGTAACTGCCACAAAGCTTCCAAACAGCAGGGTATTTCGTTACAAAAGACACGGATAAGAAAAGTGCCTGAATGCGGGCAAAAAACTGCAACTCAATTAAGAGACTATCCAGAAGAAAACCACATTCTGGGTCTCTTGAACGTTTGTGCACAAGATCAACTCAATCCCCAGAGCTGTACTAGAAGGTGGTAACGTATCGTACGGATATTGTGTGTGAAGGACTGTGACAGAACTCTACTTGCTTTGTATAAATAAGACCAGTATCTTAACTGTGAGATAGCAAGCGAGCACAATAACCAAGTTACATTACAAATATATACAACAGATGCTAGACTGATGCTTTTATTATTATATTAAAAAAAAAGAGACATATCCATCCTTCATCATAAAACTAGCACTCCTTACTAGAAAAAAAATCTTAGCTTATGCAGTCAGTTTTAAAATAAAGCTCTGCTCATCACCATTTAAACAAGTTCCTATCCAAAGGAACTGCACATAAAGTAGAAGGAAAAGTCTCCTGTAAAGGTCAGCTTCATGAACACTGGCTGCTGTGGTTTAGCTTCAGTGTTTTCCCTGGCTTCTAATCTAAAGCTCTGGAAGGACAGACAAGTGTCCTGCAGCCAGAACTTCAGGCATGCAAGTGCTTAAACTGGAAGAACTCCCCAGTGCAATGGGCAAGTCTCCCCCATCTCTTAAGATACAGCAAGCTTGGCTTTAGGTGGTCCAGGGATGCAAAAAGATTCAGGAGGTGGGGTGTTCTCTAATCCCAGTCCATGAGGCGGAAACCAGGATGCAATGATTAAATGCCAGGTCAGTGGAACTGCACGGTTCCTGCAAGGAATCAAGAACTGAACTCTGCTCCTGGCAATTTTTGTTTGAGGTTTAGCTGCCTTCTACAGCTCTGAACGGACTTTTACCCAGATTATTTTATTCTGTGTTCATCTGCTGATACTATTGGCCTGTTTCTATTTGACTGTGGAACGTGAAGGACACCTGCTCTTTTGTTTGACTATGGATAAGGATGGGATACCACCACACATTTTAATACCTTGGGTGAAATTCCAGTCCATGTCAAGGTAATGGATACTGTTTGGCTGTAAACACAAAAGGTCTGGAAAAAAGAAACGCTAGGCCTGAATTATTTAAAGACAGATCCGATATCTTGTTACCTCTATCTCTAGGAAGCTACAGTATTTATCCCAGGGGCTGAAGCTTTGCTTGGCATACGCTCACTTTCGCAATGCATATTAACATGTTTCACTTTCCTTTCTCCACTATTTGTAAGAGATGAAACCAGGACAAAGGACGATTCAAATCAAGCAAACCCTTCCACTGCAGCTGGGAGGGGAAGACACACCGTTCGTTTCAATATCTAGCAAACACAACTAGAGGAGGGAAGGCTCCGCAGGGCTCTGTGCGAGTGGATGTGCCTTCTGCAGAAACCTCTTGAAAATCCTATCTCAAGAAGAATTTTGAAATCAAAATATTGAAAAGCAAGGCAAGAGTCATTGGGTGAATGAAGGAAGAACTTCCTTCAGCAATGCCTTTCTCCTCTAGTGGAAATAACAGATGGGATGTTTGACTGAGACAAGAAACTCAGTCCCCTACCGAGCAGAAGGCAATACCTGAGAGACACCTTAGCAACGGCTGCTGGATCCAACAGCATCATCGTTGTGCTGGCAGCCACCTCACTAACACGAGAGCACAGCTGCTGCCAAAGCAGGGGGTGCCTCCTCTCAAAGCACTGCTCCTCCAAGGGGAGTTCTTGAGCACCATTGTCCCAAGACAACTTCAAGGATGACCAGGCCTACTTCCCCTGCTGACGAGGCTTCAATAGACACACTTGGAGCAGAACGCCTATCTTCAGCAAGGTTCACTGCAAGAACAGTCTGAGGATAGAGGAGAAAAGCTTTGCTCTGCCTGACCCTTTGGGTCTCCTTCACTGTATGGTACAGAAGACCAGAACTAATGCACACAGCGCTCTGCTCTTAACCTGCAACTGGATGTTCTGGAAGGAACACCTGAACACGCAGTTCACTCGATGCTTCTCTGCACAGGAGATTGTAAATCTCTGCCTTGAACCCATCAGCTAAAGTTCCATTCACTAAGCCATTAGTGATTTTTTTATTTATTGTTCAGAGACAGTTCCTGTACATGGACTGAGTTCAGGCTGTAGACATCTAAATGGTGGAATACTCCACTAAATATCTCACAGATAAGCGTAGGAGTTCGTAGTGGGTGGATTAACAAAAGTACCTGCTTTGTTTGGACTGGAGAACCCAAAGCCTTGAGATGCCACGCTGCCACCACCAGAGCTGAAAGTGCCCGTAGGCTTCTGCTCTCCAAAAGATGAGCTGCCAAATCCAAAAGTCTTTGCTCCACTGTTTCCAAATAAGCTGGAAGAATCTGGGGAGATGAAGAATACTTGTGAAGCTCATAACAGATAATATTCTACATTACACCTCATTAACTGGATCAGGAGAAAGGGAAGCGCCTTTAACTTCCCCGACCCCCGAGCACAAAGTGAACACCACATTGGAGACCGCACTCTGCAGAGAGAAGCCGATTTTTCCCCTATTCCTACAGGGCTTTGTAGTTCCACCAAGATCCATTCTGGATCTGATGGACCACTAACAACCCCTTTGTTGCTGCAATCTAGCAGGTCACAGCGACAGATGATTTGTTTAGTTGCATCCTGTGCTGCAGTCACTAAAAGACAATCCCTCGAGTGAGAAATCCCAGCAGCTAGAACCAGTCTCTCGTGACAACACAAAGAGTCCACCACAAATTAAAGTTTCTCAGCTATTTTTGCAACGCCAGTATTTCTTAACATGACTATCTGACAGGACCCTAAAGTAGGAGCCAAACTTTTCCAGCCTCACTGAAAAATAACTCAAGTTTTCATCTTTCACAAGGCTACGCAGAGTCTTAGCATCTAGCGGCAGGACACAGAATCATCAAAGCTTTTCTCTGGTGAACCATCTGTTTTATTTCCTCACAAAACCCAGCACTGCGATAAAGGAGGACTAAATTAGCAAGGTTAGAGAACTGACCTCAACCATTAATCCCAACGGATCATTAAAGAAGTAATAAAATAAATGGATTTGCTCTCCCAAGACTTGAAGTGCTACTTCTAGCCACTTGCAGCTAATTTCACAGCTTTCCTTTGTCCCCCTACTTTCACGGCTTAGACACTGCTTCCCCTTCTTTGTGCTTTCTACCTGCTGGACTCCACCCCTTCTGCTTTCCCTTTCTGCCAAACCCAAGTCACGAGCGATGAAATAACAAAGCTGGGCAGTCTCATTAAATAAAAGTCAGACTTAAATCGTTACGGATAGCTTTTGTGCCATACAAACACACAGATCTGCAATAGCTGCACACGAAAGGCACGAGAGAGCCTGCTCGTATTTCAGACTAATTGCTGCAGCACACAATGGCATACATGCATCTCAGCTCAAATTTTAGAGTATTGCTAAGACCTGATAGCCCAGAAAACTCAAGACTAATGTGTTTTTAACTTGACTCTGGCCTTAAAAAAAAACAAAACTCTGCACTAACAGACAGTGATTGATTCTTGCCTTTACAGTGAATCCTTTATAGCTTCTTGAAAAAATTTCTAGTACTCCCTTAAAGTCCCTGGTGCAAAGGAACCCGCAGGTAGCTTTAACGTATTCTGAACGACTTTTCATGCCTCCTTGGCAAGACGGTCGGCTGGGCGGGAAGCAGCGTGTGGGAGGGTCGGTGTGGCGCCTCCCGTGCAGGCTGATTCAGCCAAAACACACGTGCGGACCGATGCCTTTAGCTGACAACGGGGCAAACGACAAGTGTTGGGTCCCTCCTCCCACAGAGGGCTTGAACACAATTCCTCTCATCTGCCCAGCTTTCACGATGCTTGAAAGAGTTTATCTGCGAGACCCCCGACCCATCTACCAAATCTGGATAAAAACGGATAAAAGGAACTCCATAGTTCTGCTTCCTTACCAAAACACATCCCCAAACCAACCACTAAGCTTATTTATTGCTCTTTACTACAACCATGTGATGGAAAAAATTCACATCTTCCCCTAGACATGAAAAACGACTGAGAGCTTATCCATATATTATAGCAAATTTTGACAGAATCTCTTGCATGTGCTGCATAAAGATAGCCATTTTTAGGACAAAGCTGAGGAAACTGCTATCCATCACACATTCGTTAACTTGGTTTCTCTTGAGGATGAGATTCTTAACAATTTTTACAGTGTTAGGGCAGATGATAAATAATTACAGCTTTCTAACTTCCAACCAAGTTGGAAGCAGAAATTCAGTGACAAGAATTTAGAGTATTCAATTTTAAAAAAGCATTTGGCCAAGAATTTCCTACAGAATATAGATTTCTTCACACTTCTTGCATTTGCTTTTGTTTCGATGGCTGCTCTACTCGCTTTCCACAACCCTAAAAGAGAAATTCCAGATTAGACATCATGCACACACTCTGTCTCTGTTACCCCCTAGAAGACACTCACGCTAACACGGAATTTACTCAAAAGACGACAAACGGCAGAAAAGCAGATGGGATCACAAAAGCAGATGGAAATCACAGCACATTCTGTATTCTTCTTTTGTTCACTTACTCTGGGAAGCTGCAGATCCAAATCCTCCACTGGAGGAACTGAAGGGATTCTTATTGGCCGCATCCTGACTTGGCTTTCCTCCCAAACCACTGAAGAAGCCTCCACCTCTCCCACCACTTCCAGCTCCAAACAAGCCTCCACTGGAAGAAGATGGCTGCTAGAACACAAAACGGGCAAAAAAAGGGATTTAAGCAAAGTCAAAGCAACACATGACCCCAAGGCTGATTCTTATGTCTGGCCTGTTCCACTGATGTACGAAGGGGCTGATGAACAGCAAGCAATTACTTTGCAAGACTTAATGCAATTAAATCTTATTTAAGCCTGTCTTAAACCTTGTCTATGATACAGAATAATGCCTTTGAAACGCGCCCTACGCTGGCCACTTTCCACTTAGCATGGAGAAAAGGCAGGTGACTTACTGTATCTCTATCTTTTCTCTCATGTGATAAAACGTTTGTCTCTCCACACCCCTCGGATGCTGCTTTGGTGCCCACTACAATAGCAAATACCCTCGGTACAGACTGGGACGCTTTAGAGCGTGTCAAATTGTTGGGTTTTTTTTTTTGTTTGTTTGCTTGGCTTTTTTAATACTATATCAGGAATAGGTAGGGAACCTTGAACGACTGCACTACACATAACAGTCCCTTGTCTTACAAAAGCAATAAATACTTGCCTGGCCAAAGACAGTGCCTCCAGTATTAGCTGCTTGCCCAAACACAGAACCTGTGTTACTAGAACCAAAACCTGCTAAGAAAAGAAAGGAAAATAAGCCACCAGAACTATTGCTAAGGCGTAACACAATTCAGGGAGGTGACACTAGTCCCAAAGAGGCAAAGGACAGGTGTCCATGGCAAAACACAGGGATACAAATGATGTCACCAAATGTATCTAGGTTGGACAAATTGAAAGTATGTGCCAAGACACAAATAATAAATTCCATTGAAAATTTTTTTTGAAAGTCATTCTCCTTTTTTCTTTGGCCAACTTAAAAACAAACAGAAAATAAAAGGCCTGTTCACTTGTGGGATTGTTGCTAAGCCTCTAAGAGCATTGCATTTCTGTTAACGTTGCTATAACAATGCTGCAAGTCATGAACAAACCCCGTAGCATTCTGATTGCCCTTGTGTAGGGAGGATCTGAGCTTTGTTACCTACAGATTCCTGTTATAGATAATGAAATGTTTTGATTTAAAAAAAAGAGCTCCCCATTTCATTTCCCAGTTCACTTAAATGTGCATTTTGTAATAAAACTGGCATTTCTATAATTAGGAACACCTTTCTCAAGCAGAGTTCACTTTCCCCAATTTAACTGTTCTCTGTTACTGTAGTTAAAGCGAGCAAGCAGTTTGCCTACAGTGCTATCACTTTTAATTAAATGAGCCTAATTAGTTTTTCTTCCTTGGAAATACATGTTCTCTATTATCACTATGTACTTTTCACTTTTCCCTGGCAGCTCTCCGAAGATTGTATAGACAAAGCTTTGGAAAAAACCTCAACAATCTATTGTAGCAACATGGAGAACAAAAGGAGCCTGACAAAGAAAGTTTGGTCTCTGCAAGTATTCAATTTAACTGTGTAGATAGGTAGCTGATGGTCATGTTACCGCTCTATTTGATTTTGAGATGCTCCCAAATGCAAAACCAGATTTAACAGGTTAGCCCCTTCCTAACCCATCACTTTGAGGGCTTAAAATATTTTTTTGCTATCCCAGGTCACGACACAGAACTATACCTGCAGGTTGTACCCAGTGCAACCCAGTGAAGGAAGTGCTGCGCCTGTATTCATCGCCTTGATTATGGCCTCAGAGCTGCCTTGCCGCTGCAGCGTAACCCCTTACAACAACAGACCAGTTTAAGATCTTTTACACTATGCTGAATCCAACCCACTTCCAGTGCAACTGGCAGGACAACACATAATTCAAAATTAAGTTAAGGTAGACTCGTAAGCGTAAAATACGTGCAAGATTGGATTGAACAGGCTACATTCAGCGGCCTACTGACGAGAGCAAAAGCTTCTTCGGTCTCCAACACTAGCCTCCCCCTCACACACACTGCAGCTCCTATTCTTACTAATTGAAAAAAACAAAACCACCACCCCCCCGCCCCAAACCATCAAGTACCATAGAGAGGGGAAAAACCAAAAGGCATTAAAAGCCATCCTACTTTCCCCAGGGATACACTGCTCGCTGTACCTCAGTCAGACAGCACCGCTGGGATATGGCCTCTCCCTGCACTCTGTTCTTACCTGAAGCTTGGCAGAAGCTGAACCCAGCAGATGACGTCGTGGTCGTAACGGCAGCAGCGCTACCAAACACGGATCCCCCTTGCCCAAAGCCGGTGTTCTGCCCAAAGACTGGAGGGCTGCTTTGTCCAAACAACCCACCTCCAGTGCTGGCAGATGGCTGTCCAAAGGAAAAGGAGCTGGCGCTGTTGGTGCTAGCCGGTACTCCAAAAACATTGCCACTGCTCGAGGCTGCCGTGGAAGCTGGCCAAAGGCTGGCATCGTCCCAAATCCAGACTGGCTAAAAGTAAAACCACCTGAAGAACTGCTCGCTGGTTGCCCAAAGGTTGGTGCTTGTCCAAAGGTGGGCTGACCAAAGCCCCCGGTAGTGGTGGTGCCAAAAGCAGAAGTACCAAAACCTGAGCTGGCAGCCTGCGTGGTAGCGGTGACAGTGGACAAGGTACTGGTGGTGAGCTGCCCAAATGGAGAGGATGCTGTGGTCCCTGCTGGCAGTTGCCCAAAAACAGGTGGCGTGGAAGGAGTGGCAGCTGTATCGCCAGCAGGCTGGCTAAACGCCGAGGCAGAAGAGCTGGAACTCGGAGGCTGAGAGAACACAGAGGAGCCGGCAGCAGTGGGGGCAAACACAGAAGCACCAACAGCTGGACTCTGGACACATGTAGTAACGTCAGAGGTAGCAGCCAACGCACTTGTGGCTTCTGCAGGAGCAACAGTGTTTGTCGTAGAGGTTGTGGCTGAGACATTCTGATCTGGTGGGGCAGATGCAGAGACAGCGGGAGGGACCGGGGCCTTCAAATCACTTGTGGGGGCAGGGGGG